TTCTGTGGATAAGCTCAACACCGTCTATTCTCCAACACCAACAAGAAAAGGCATTAAGCTGAATCCGTGGCAAGGCTTGGCCTCCCTCATAGGGCATCGGGGGGATTTACACTCTATCCGTAGCAATTTATGAATGATATTGAAGCCGGCTAGGCAGGTTGGACGATTGTGGGAATGTTCAAGGCCGTGTTATGTAGATGTATTTATTAGGAAGTGTGGAAAGGACTCAGGACTCTGGAATGTTTTTGTATAAAGCCTTTTTGAAAAGGCCAGCAAAAAGCAACAGCGATCTAACGATCTGTCCTTTGTGGTTAGTGTACCACAGACAAGAGGACCTATATATTGTTTAAGCCAAGCTGATGCTAAGTAGTGTATATGTGTGACACTCGCTGGGTGTTTATTACAAATCACGCAGATGACAGTACACCCAATGGCAATGCCTTTATCTGCCTCTGTGTCCAGAAGAGGGCACCATCTTTGATCAGGTATCATTCAAGCTCACTATCTACTTCAGTGGTAACCAAACTTCGGTGCTCCAGCTGAGATGAAACTAAAAGTCCCCAAACACATTGCAAGACTCTGAGAGCCACAGTCATGACTTCTAGGGGCACAGGCATGATGGGATCTGCAGTTTCACCATAGCTGGAGGGCAGAAGTTTGGCTACCCCGATCTAAATCCTGAAGTGAACAGTAGAAGTGAGTAGGCAAACAAGGTAATATGCTTACTTTAGGGAGGGTTAGGTGTCAGGTGTGCAGACCCAAAACCTCAAGCACAGATATTTCCGCCACACAATATACAAAACGTATAAAACCTAGGTGGTTTAAAGTGTATTTATATAGCTAAACTTTTCATTTCTTATTTCGGATAGCTGAGGGAAGGATTAGAATCCCTGTATGGTTTTTATTGCTGTCTGTGTCGCTGCTAGGTAGTTTGTCCTGATGATCATTGCCATCCAGCCAAAAAGTGAGATCCAAACCTTTACAGTTGTCCCCATAACATGAGCTGATGGGAGATCTCCCAATGGGGACACCTGTTCAGGTGACAACTCCCTAAGAGGGGAATTCCCTTCACTTTACAGACATTTCCCCTTACTTCCTGATTTATCTCTGGGCCACGGAGTAAAGGGAAATCTCCCCAAATAACAGGGGTTTTAACCTTTTCCTACATTATCTAGAAATTTGAAAAAAAAATTGGGTGGATATTAAAATTTTAAATAGATTATGGAATTAAACACTTTACAGTTTTTCACTTTTCTTGGGAACTCTATTGTTGAGATCTCTGCAATGAGTTCCCAGGTCTGCACACCTGCTGTGACCATTATGAAAGGTTCTCACTACCCTTTGCCAAGTTCCTGGGTCTGTATACCTTCTGTGCCCATTATGAGGAGTTCCCACCAACCATGTGCTGAGTTCCCAGGTCTGCACATGTGCTGTGCCCATTATGAGGGGCTCCCACCAACCTTGTGCTGAGTTCCTGGGTCTGTACACCTGCTGTGCCCATTATGAGGGGTTCTCACCATCCCTGCGCTGAGTTCCCACGTCTGCACACCTTCTGTGTGCATTATGAGGAGCTCCCACCATTCCTGTGCTTAGTTCAGGGTCTACACACCAGCTGTGCCCACCCTCCCTGCTGGATTTGTATGTATTTTTTATGAACAGAATTGGGTATTAAGGCAGCAAGAGTTTGTGGGTGGAGTAAGCAATACAGGGATGCCAATATGTCCTGTATTGCTCTTTAGGCAGCATGTTCCAAGGTTGATACGAATTGGTACACATTTTTATATATCCACCATTACAATTCTCCTCCTTCTCCACTTGTTCCCTATATAGTGCTCCAACAACATTAATGTACCCCATTGTGCAGCATTTCAATATAAAATATTTATTCAAAGCAACGAACAAAAATAAACTCACAAATACCGCAGTAAAAACAGCCTCAACTATCTCTTCATGGCGGCGTATGACCCGCCCTTGGCGCTTTTCGTCACTAGACTTCCTCAGGAGGGTTCGTTAAGGCTGTTTTTACTGTGGTGTTTGTGAGTTTATTTTTGTTCGTTCTTTTGAATAAATATTTTATATTGAAATACTGCACAATGGGGTACATCAATCCTTTTGTTGGAGCACTATTTAGGGAACAAGTGGAGAAGGAGGAGAATTGTAATTTTGGATATATAAAAATGTGTACCAATTCGTATCAACCTTGGAACCGGCTGCCTATAGAGGATCGTTCACCAAGCGGAAGGAGAGAGGGCTTGAAGCTCCCTAAGGATCTATAACATCTGAAAAGGGCGATTGAGGAAGGGATTTATAGTTCCTATGAGACAAGCGTTTGTTTAATGGAAATCTGGTGAGTGCACCTGCAAGACAATAAGGAGCACGGTGGTGTTTAGGTAAAGATACAGCACACATTGGAATATTTAACTAATTGTGCATGTGGGTGCTACATGAAAAGCACATTGGACTTTATA